CTTAAGGTTTTAAAAACAATTGTTAAAAAAAAAGTTTTTACATGAAACTGAGAAATAAGATATACAGGCAATGGGGTGTAGAAATTGATCCTGCCGTAGGGGAAAATAGAAGGGGAAAGGAATATGGGGAGGGTATGATAGAAAGAACAGATTGGGCGAAGGGGTATTCAGAATGCATACCACTGGGTGAGGGGAAGGGAGAGAGGGGGAGGAAATTTGGAACTCAAAATCTTGTGAAAGTGAATGTTGAAAACTAAAAATGAATAAATCAATTAATAAAAAAGAAGAAAAAAAATTAAAAGAAAGTGAAATGGATGAATTTTTACAATTTGTCTCACTTAAACTCAATTCATTACTAAATCAAGATATCACTCTTAGGATGTCATTGGTCTTCCAAAACAAAGGACAAATAACAACAACAATTATCTTTCTAAAAATTTTCTTTCATTGCTCTTATTTCTTTTCTCAATTTCCCTCCATTGACCTTATTTGATCATTAAAATCAGTTTTTAGCCCTTACAGAAATTCTTATCAGGCTTATGTCCAATTCAAATTTTTTCTTTCAGATTTCCTTGTAGCTCTTTTGATATTGTTGTCTTATGAGTTGTGTTTGATCTTCACTGTCACCATAGTAGCCTTTTATGTTCAGGCTCCTTTATTCATTTATTTATTTATTTATATGTTTTGGTGGGGTTGCTCATTTTTCCCGCCTATTTCTTGACTTTGAACTTTATGTTAAAGCTGGGCTCTTTTGACCTGGGAGTGAGTCACTGTCCCAAACTTCAGGCTTTTTCACATTGCTGTTTTCTAAACTAGTTTTCAGTGCTTCCAGGGTAGTGTGATATGGGAAAAAGATAATGGTCACTGCTCTTCTAGTTTGTGTTCTGTTTTTCCCCAGAAAGGGCTCCTGATCCCTTTCAACAGCAAGAGATATTGCTCAGGTTCTCTATCCTGTTGTGAAAAAAGTGATATTGCTCCTCTTCCTGATACCCTCCAGCCACAAGAGCTACTCTCTTTCTGGACCTGTGACTCAGAAGTATGTACAGGCAATGGAGTTGTGCCTGGTCTCATACCTAGTACTAGCATAAGGGGCCCCTTAACCTTTTTTTTAACCATTTGCCTGATCCTCTTAATATCTTTTGCTTGAGTGCTCCCAAAACTGCTGCTGCTGCTGCTGTCATACCCTCCAAGGCCCACAACTGGTTTTGCTGCCATGTGATCTCTAGGCCAGCCCCCACCCCAGGATCACAGACCTTTCCTTCTTATATCCTAAATTGTCTTGGACTGGAAAGACATCTCAGTTTGACCTTTGGTTGGCTTTGCTGATCCGGAATTCAACTTGAGGCATGATTTTAAAGTTGTTTGGAGAAGAATTTTGAGGGAGTTTGGCTGTCGTACTTCCTTAACTTGGCTCTATCCAGCCCTCCAGAAGTCCTTGAACAAAACCTTAAAGAAAGCCAGTGATTCTAAAATGTAGAACTGATAAGGGAGAGTATCCTCTGTGCTGGGGCCTACGCAAAGACCCAGAGGCAGAAGATAAAATGTTTTGTACAGGGAACATTAAGTAAGGTAGTCAGACTAGAAAATAGAGGGGGGAGGGAAGGTAATGCCAAATCCATTCTAAACAATTAGTTGGAAGCAGATTGGGAAGGGATTTAAATGCTTTTAAATATTGAATACATGAGATTGTGTTCACCCAAAAAGTGAAAAGACATCGCTAAAGATCCTTGAGCAGTGTGTGCCATGGCCAGCCCTGTTGTTCACTAACTACGTAAGTCTAAAGAAAAGTCAACAAAATGCCAAAGATATAGCTCACTTAGATTCTAGTTAAATCTCTCTTTAACATCTTTGGGGAATGTTGAAGAGATGTGGGCTAAAGATAATTATACAATTGGGTAGATTTGGAAGTAGTTGAATGGACAGACCCAATCCCTAGTACCTAATACTTTTATGCCAGAGTTCAAAGAGGTCTCTAGTTCATAGACATTTTTATAAATGCCTTGAGTAAAGACATAAATAACACACGTTTTGAATTTGTAGATGACATAGAGCTGGGAGTGTTAGTTAATATACTGGTTGCCAGGATCAGGATCCCAGAAGATCTTGTCAGGTCAACACATGAGCTGAATGTAATAAGATGAAATATAATGTGAATAAATGCAAACTGTTATACTTGGAATAAAAAGAAAGACTTCACAAGTACAATATGGAGGTGTGGCTAAGTAGTAGTTTCCATTAAAAAAAAGATCTAAAGGTAGGGGTTGGTGGGGTCAGTTGACTTCAAGTTTAATATGAGTCTCCTATGTGGTATAGCAGTCAAATAATCAAAAGTATTTATTAAGCACCTGCTATGTGTCTGATGCTGTACTATACTGAGCTAAAGTAATATTGGGATGCACCAGAGAAGTATGGAGAGGCATAGGGTCCAGGACCAAGGGGTGATAATTCCTCCATCTAGTGCTCTAGTTACATCATATGTTTTGGTTTTGATTTTGTTTTTAGCAAGGTAATTGGGGTTAAGTGACGACTTGCCCAGGGTCACAAAGCTAGTAAGTGATGTCATATATTTAATCTCGTCTTCAGTTCTAGCTATTTGAGAAAGAATGTTGTTAAGCTGAAAAATGTCCAGGGAAGAACAATGAGGAAGATGAAAGACCTTGAGTTGATTCCATGTGATTATTTGTTGAAGGAACTGGGGAAGACAGGCATACTCCCTTCAAAGAGCTGAAGGATCGTTATGTAGAAAAGGAAATATCCTTGTCCTTCTTGGCCCCCAAAGAGAGATCCAAGAGCAAAGAGTTGAAGTTACAAAGGGAAAAACATAACTGTGAGGTAAGGCAATATTACCTAACAATTAGATTGCTAAACCATGGAATAGGCTGCCTTGAAGAGTTGTGGATCCCTCTCTACTACCAAAAGATTTTCAAGCAAAAGTTGGATTTCCAATTGCTGTATATTTTGTAGATTTTTTTTTGTTCAAGTGTAAATCAGACTAGAGGGTCTCAATCACCCATGGGGGAGGAGGGGGGCTCACTCAACATAGGCACCTTCTTCCACAACTTGAGAGTCTATGAGGTTATCAGGGGAACACTTACATTTTCTGCTGGTCATCCCTTGCCTTCTCCAAATGACTGGATCTCCAGCTTTGCATTCCTACATTCCCTTCCTCCTTCTTCATTTGCCTTTAATATCTTCCAAACAGCTAAGTTAATTGTGAACAGAAACTAAAACCCACACATTCTATTCCATGAAGTTTACAATATCTCTTCTTATCCCACAATGTTCCACCATTGGAAAATATAATTTCCAGTGGACAACAGCTTTGGTTAGTCATAGAAGAAGACAGCAATATTGTCTAAATCAAAGTAAATTGTAAATATGATAGAAGGCCAAAAATGAGCATCAGGTCTAAGTCATTTTTAGCTTTGGAAGTTCCTAAGTAGGTTTTTATTTTTCTACCTTTCTTTGTATTCCAAGATGCTTATATAGCATCCAAAACATAGTAGTCATTAATAAATGTTTGTTGATTTGACTTGACTCAGTTTACCACACAATTTGAGTTTCCAAGGTGAAAACTAGTAAGACCATTGAGAATGTGGGATGTGACTTGAAAGTTGGGAATGATTCTTCATGAGAACCAGGCAACAAGCAAGTGTTCCATCCATGGATGGGTGACCATCCAAAATTCACATACTTAAAAGCAGCACAGTGAATAGCTGTGTTTCTAGGTGCAGATTGACTGCTACCCACAAAGCCATCCTAAATTATTGCATCCTAGTTTATCAGAGTTGCCCAGGGTGACACAGGTGCTAAGCATCAGAGTGAATTTTGGACAGAACTCAACTTCTCTGTGCTAGAGGTCATTACCTAGGATTTACCTAATACATCATCATTGAATTGGGGGCTATTTTGATGGGGATGCTATGGGGTGGGGGACTTTCCTAAACTGAAGAAATAGCAGGTTCTTTATAAATTCATGTACTAATGAATAGAATTGAATTTTTAAAATAAATAGAATAACTAACATTTAAAGAATGCCTGCTATGTACAAAGCACTGTGTTAAGAACATTACAAAAAGCATTTAATCCTTACATAACATCCCTTGGAGGCAATTGCTATTATTATCTCTATTTTACAGTTGAGGAAACTGAGGCAAATAGATGCTAAATGACTGGTCCAAGGGTCACACAGCTAGTAATTGTATGAAGCCAAATTCAAACTCAGGTCTTCATGACTCAAGGAGCAGTACTCTACCCACTGTAGCACCTAGCTGCCCTAAGATGGGCTTTTATTTCTATTGATGACAAAAACTATGTTACAGTCATAAGCGTTCTTTCCATTCACTTAATAAAGATACATTAAGCAGTTGCAGTGCTTAGCACTGTGGATGGAGACGCAGATAGAGTAGAACTTGTTTAGCCATTCCCCAATTAAGAAATAATTGGGGAATGTTGATTGGAGAATGGCTAAACATGTCGTGGTATATGATGATAATGCAATACTACCCCCCTATAAAAAATGATGAGCTTGATGACCTTAAAAAAACATGGAAAGATTTCCATAAAATAATGAAAAGCAAAATGGACAGAACCCAGACAATATTGTATATAGTAACAGTAATATTGTTTTAAGAACTTTGAGTGACTAAGTCATTTTGATTATTACAAATACCCAAATTAACTACAAAAGACCTATGAAGGAAGATACAGTCTTCATCCAGAGAAAGAATTGATAAAAAAATGTATAGAAATATATATGTGTGTGTGTGTATAATGGTAGCCATCTCCAGGGCAGGTGGGCAGGGAAAGAAAAAAGGGAAAAAAAAAAGAAAGTTACATGGTAAATTTATTATATATTTAAAAGGAATAGCAAATTGCACATAATAGATATGCAGTTTGATGTGAAATCATTTTTCCTATTCTACTGTTATGGAAATTCTTCTTTTATTTCTTAAGTTCAGAATAAAACAAAATAAAAACAAATAGAGTAGAACAATAGCTTCATTTCAAATTGATTTTATTCACACTAGGACAACAGTGGAGTCAAATGATGATACAAAATACACGACAAAAAGAATTTTTAAAAATAACTTATGCCGAGGATACACTTGACTGTACTCTACAGACTAACTACCAATTCTCAGCAATATTTGGGAGCACACCGTGAATTTTGCAGTGGATGCTTACAGATACAATAATGTATCACAGACAGGAATAATAAGCCAGAAGTGTGTTCAGCCATATTAATTTGACTGTATATGTATCAATTCTTGATTCCAAACTAATTCTGCACATCTGGGCCAAGCTCATGGCTGCAGAGTCTTCAGAAAAGGCTTGGAAATGCACTTTTTTTCTCAGCATCTGTCAAGAACAGACCAAGGCCTAATCCAATGGTGTTTCAAGGATAATAAAATGGCTTCATTACAGAAACAGAGTGAACAGCAAGACAGAGAAGACACTTTAATTGGGCCACTGAGCCAGAGACCCCACTGGCGTACAGGTTGCCAAACCTGGTCTAGAGCTTTAAATCATGACCATTGGTCAAGAAACATTTATTAAGTACCTATTATGTGCCAGGCACTATGCTATTGTGATAGTAATAACAATTGTTTTGCCCTTTGATTAAGTTAGAGCATAGGGTCTTTGATTTAACTTATACAGGTTACTCTCAGATAAGGAAAACCCTTCCTCCAATAAAAGTTATCACTTTCTTTAAAACTAATTGTCTTAGAGAATTGTCCAGAGCACTAAAATGTTAAATGATTTTCTTAGGGACATACAACCATTGATGTCAAAGAAGGAGCTTGAACTTCCCAGCTTTGAGACTGCTTTATAACCACTATCCCATATGTCGTCTGTATGTCTCTGCCTCTGTCTCTCTCTCTCTCTGTGTCCCACATATATATCTATATTTACTCTATAGATCCACCTGTGGTCTCAAGTAAAAATATTCCCCTTGTTGTAAGTTTCTACTCTTCTTTATTCATAGTAATATGCATTGAATAAAAATCTGAAGACCCTCATTCTAAATGTCATGTCAGCTCCCTTTCTATTTGTGTATTCATTAGTATTTTAACTTATTGCTTTTTATTTACATAGGCATCTATTAATGTAGTATCACACCATAAATTTTCAGCTCCTATAATGGTGAGTTCAAGTATTTCTTTTTATACTTTGTCGCAAAAACTCTTATACAATTACATATTAATAAATGGGTCCCAGAATAAGTCCCACTTAACTTCTCAAGACTGTAGGCAACTCTATTAGACTATAAATTGCCAAGGATGTACCTTCCTAAATTGGTAGAGGGAGTCCATATTTGAGCTCTCTCTATCTCAATAAAATCTCCAGAACCATCTCTGGTCCCTGTCTTTTGATTCTGTCCCCGTTCTGTCTCACTAAGGGGGACCTGCTTCACCTTTACATCTGATCACTGAAATTGTAAACTCTTGTCTGGTGGGAACTACATTTCAGTGTTTTTCATTCATTCCAGTTTGATGAGCAATTATGGTCAATGGAAGTTAAATAAGCTCCTCGAGGGCAGGTACTATTTCTTTTTTGTCTTTTTATCCCCAGCATCCAACACAGGGCCTGATACTCCATCAATTGATTTTATTGTATTGCAGGCAAAGGTGAAGACAATGATGGGGACAATACCATTCTTCAGAAAGACAGATGGAAACAAGAATGATCTCCTCACCAGGGATCATTGTCCCTCAGGGGAACTCCATAGTCATCTGATGATTATGACACTATTGATAATAATGACAATAAGAGCCCTTCATTTCTCAAATAGGCAGGACAGCTCATCTGGTTTCCATTTCTTTGGGATATGAAAATACCTTCTGTATGAAAACTATTCAACAGGTGTGTTCCTCCTCTTGCTCCCCCTCCCACTTTTCACCCACATTCTCTGCAGGCTGAGTGATTTCATTCTTTAGGCAGCAGAGGAATGTAAAGAGATATGAGACTCTCTGGGACAATGACAAGGCCATCTACAGAAGGATGGCTTCTGAACTTCAAGAGAATCCCCTTTCCACTAGTTACCTTTTGGGTTGTCTTATTTGAGGTTAGTAGAAATCTAATATTGCTCAAATAATAACAACTTGAGTGGAAATTTTCAAAGGGAAATCAGCAAGAAATATACAACAAATTTCTAAAAAATTCTTAAGTACCAATGCTAGAGAAGCCACAGGTACTAGAGGGCCAATAGAGAGAAATTCTGCCCCAGGAGGTTTTTTTCTGTGAGCATTCTTGCTTCTAGTTCTATATGGATACTGTAAAGAAACCAAGTCAGTTTACAAGTCTTTATGATTGACTTTTGGAAAGAAAGCAGTGCTATGCTTGTAGGGAGGTGGTTAGAAGGTCCTAGCAAGAGCACATCTTCCATGTGGCCCTGAGTTCTTCATGTCCAAAGGCATCCTCATTTCAAGTCCATTCATTCAGCAAACTAGCATTTTTTGAGCTCCTCAAATCCCCTCTAGTTCCCAGGCACTGGATGATATGAAGGTAAAATCCAAAGTTCATCATGTGTTAGATATAACAGAGATGTGAATGAGAATATGTGTGTGGAAGAGACAAATTGAGAGCTTGATTTCAGCTCCTGAATATTAGAAGTGTAACCTATAATTCTTTACAAAAATCTGCCAGGTGGAACAGTAGCAGCATAGCTCCACTTGGTTTCAGCAACCCTAGGGTGGAATCTTTCATTTGCATTTTCTTACCTGTATGACTTTGTACATATTCTTTGACCTCTGGGCCTCAGTTTCTTGCTCTAAAAAGATGGAAGGAGGGTTAGACTATATAACCTCTAAGGTCTCTTTTAGCTTTAAATCTGTATTCACTGAGCCTATAGTGCCAGGGCTCATTTTCTCCTGTTATTTGATGCAAATCCATTAAAATATCCATCTGAAACTATTTTTCTCATCTTTGAATGAACCATATCATTTCAAATTCACACTCACACATACACTCAAGCTCCACTGTGAACAAAGAAGCATTTACTATTTTTCCATCAAATGCATTTGTCTGCACTATGCCCTTTGATGTGATATTCATATTGAAAAGGCCTAGAATTTTTGGAAAAAGTTGATTTTGTTTAAGTATTTGACAACAGGAGACCTTTTCTTCTTGCTCCCATTATCTGAGCACTTTAGTGCATCTTCTTGTTAAAAAATTAAGTGCTTTATCCTCTAACTCCTTTCTGCCAATTTAGAAAACTTCATTTTTTTTTCCTCCTTGTGTGTTCATGTGTGTGTGTGTGTGTGTGTGTGTATACAGGCATTTTCTCACACATATCCAGTAGAGTTCATCAGAATGAGGCAGATCATTGATAAAACAAGAGAAGACAAGTTTATATGAAGACAGAGTGCTCGGAGTAGTCTCCTTTGAGAAACTCTTAACAGTAATAACAATGATGATATGATTGTGTGAAGAACACATCAGCAAGGGAAATGGCCTCTCCACCATGTCTGGTGTGTTTCAGAAGTGTTGATATTCTCCAAAAGCCTCTATTCCATCCCTCGGGGCAACCATTCCTTTAATGGCATAATTAAAACATAGTGGTGCTCTGGGCTCAGAAACACATTCAGCCATGATTAATCTTCTGCAGAGTTTCTCTGCTTGCCCCTGAATTGCACAGACCCCAACTCTGAGCCAATGCATGCCCCCTCACAAGGCAAATGGATGATTCATCTAGGAATGCACCATGAGTTTGATGGCTGAGGCTTGGACCTGCCAATATACAGTAATGCAGCAGCAATCCACAAACTTCAGTTAATTTACAGGAGGTTGCCAAAACTTGTTTCTTCTCCATTCTCATTAAAAAATACAAGGTCTGGTGGGGACAGAAAAGAGCACACAAAATTTTGTATTTTCGAGTTAATTTTAAAGCAATACAGTTATGTTTCTAATTAAAATAGGTTGTAAAATTGCTAAACGATTTGACAGGAAAAATATCTTTTCAAGTCACAGGCCTTGCAGTCCAAGTCTCTAAAAATATGTTTCTTGAAGTGATAACCAGGAAACAAACACAACTGATGAATAAGAACGGTGTCATGAGTTTTCTGTGAAAACGTGGGAGGAAATTTACAGAAATGTAATCAAAGTGATGAATCAATATTAACCTTCTCCTTCCCCAAACATAAGTCTATTTTTACCTAATGCAGAGCTACCTTCTCTTTCAGATTACCCATTTCAAAGGGTTGCTCAGATTTCTAAGATGTTAAACCAAGTATCTGGCAATTTTTGCATATGTAATAAAAGACTTCAAAATTAAAATAGTAATCCTAAGAAAAAAAAATCAACACATGAAAAATAGAGTCTGACTATAACAAAAGAGAGTCATATAATTCTCCTTGAGTGAAACCTTTCATCTTTGATTTACAGGTTTGAGCCCTCTCTAACTCAAACCACATTGCTGCATATCTTTGAGAGCATGGCCTTCCCTCAAACCTTGTTTAAATTAAGGTTCCTTTTAGATTTCTGAATAAAAGCATGACAATCTTCACTTATTACTTTAATATATCCTTTCAGTTAGGAAAATATATTAAAAAAAATGAACACCAATAGGTTTCTAAAGCAGTGCTAGGTATTAAATACTGCAAGAAGAATCCTAGATGGTAATATTCCACCTCTGACGTTTTAGGTGATTGAACTGCACATGAAAATAGAATACTGAAAAAAAAAATAAACTCCATATTGCAATATGAGTTGATTTTTAACTCAGAAAATAAAGTTCCAATTTTTTTTTTCTTTAAACCTTCTGACCATAAGGCAACATGTGGAAAGGTCAAGGGTCCATTGCTGGTTAAAGGCACAGCTCTCAGTTAATATTAACCAACATGAAATCAAGTAGCTAATGCTATTTCTTAAATAACAACATAATTCATGGATCAAAAAAAATACTCATCTAAATCCTCCCAAGTTTCATCAGCAATGCTCAACCTGTGGGTTCTCACACATGAAAACAATATAATTGAGCCCAGTAATTACCTTAAACTGGAAATGTAACCTAACTAAATGGATGCCAAGAAATGCCTGAGCCACAGAGGTGCTCATATGGGGAAAACTCAAGTATCCATAAATATGTGGCCTCTGCAAAACTTTTGGAGCAAAGTATGGGCATCTTAGAAAAGTTATTCCCTTTTCAGAGGAAATGTGAGTCCCTGTGGACCTAAGGCTCAAGAGGACTGTTATTCAAAGAATGGGGGATTCTTAATAAAAGGGAAGAGGCTTCCAGTCAACAAAGAAACCAGAGCCTTCCCATCTGTGAGAGCTTTGAGCGGGATGTAGTGAAACAGAGATTGCATTCTCAAAAAAAACATTTTCATTTTCATGCATAATCGAAAGAGTTCCAAATTGTGCCCTACCACACACCGGCTGCCTTAGGGACTGAGACTTTCACGCTAAAAATGCCCTCATCCCATTTCTCTTAAATTTTGACCTCTCACTTGCTAGAATTTGTGAGGGTGTAAAAACAAAGGTACAATATGTTATCTTGTTTGCTCAGAGCTGAAAACAAATCCTGTACACAATTTAAAACCATGTGAAAAAAATTAGCCTATCGAAACCAATTGAACATGTCTGAAAGAACATTCTCAGGGCTTTCCCCTGGATCTCCCTGGCTATCCCCGTCCCTATAATGTGGATAGGACTAGTCCAGGGCCAATTTCTTGTGTGCCAGTGGGTCGCATAGCACATTCAGAGCCCACATGTTGGAGACCGTCCCTCCCCAGTATCATTGCCTGTAACTTTAGAATCAGAGTGGTTACATTGAAGGAGTCTTTCAGGCCCTTTCAAGTCCATCCAGAGGACAAGTGAAGCTGCTGTGTGTGCTCTGTGCCCAGTGTTTATGTTCCATTCAATCTGTGCCACCCAGGCAGCAGACAGGACATGTCTGAGGGTGCTTGGTTGGGGGTGGGGGTGGGGAGATACACAATGATGTCACACACAGGAAATACCGGGGGAGGGGGGAACTTGGCACTTCACAGGGCTGGGTCTTCATCCATGGGCTCGCCAGCAGGTCTGTAAAAATAAACAGGCAATCAGAAGAGGGCCGAGGAGTACACAATGACATGGTAGATTTTCATGCATAATCAAAACTGATTTTTCAGCTCTCTCTGATGTTTATTTGTGCTATTCAGCTATCCATAAATAGAGTTTCTTTCCTAGGAAGTATAAACACATGTCAAGTGGAAAAACATTCTCGATCTCGGCAATCACGGCAAACATTCCTGTTTATATTAAAACATGTCAGAATATTTTATAACTCTCGCTTCAGAAAAGCTCATGGTTTCTATCTTAAAAAGTCAAAGATGTTAATGAAAAAAAATAATGATAGTATCCTACTCGAGGGATATTCATTCACAAGATTTTCTTGGGCAACTGATTCGAAAGATCAGAGCAGCTCACCCAATCTGTGACTGGGGGTTCCTCACATGAGGCCTTTTGCTTCTGTTTTTTCATAACTGGATTGGCAGACTGCCTGCGGCCCTTCAAATCAAATTCTGAATTTGATTAGCAAATCACTGCAAAGCACCCAGGTTTGGATGAGAAATCATCTCTGGTGATTATCTGGTGTTAGTAGGCATCATTCTGGGTCTCAGCCACTCAGACAAAACCAAACCCAACTGCTTCAGATTTTCAAGCCAAGATCTGACTTTCATATACTAACGCTTTAGAGGAGAGGTGGTGTATGTGTGGGGGAAGGGCTTCAAAGACTACTTTGTAAGAGACATAGAAACTGCGGCAAAGAAAAGCAACTTTCTCCAGGCCTCTGCAGATGCTTCCTTAAAAATGTTGTGCATGCATTCCCCTGATAAACTGAAATGCTGACATGTGCACAGAAAAAGGAGAAAAAAATAAGAAAACACACATGTATGCATGAACTCTCACACACACATATGCCCACACACATAGCTACAAACACACACAACCCCTTATCCAGAATAAACTACTGTTCAGCCTTTTAGCCCAACTTACACATTCTGTTCAATTCATCTTGCACATTATCTTTTTAAAAAAAATTGGGGGTTTAGAACACACCCCCAAATAATGGCAGGATCTTTGTAGCTTGGGATTATTTTAAATTAAAAATTGACATATCAAATGGAATAATTATTATTGGCAGTACTAATGGTCAATTTTTTATGGGATCCTAGAATCTTAGACTCATAGATTTAGAGGAAGAAGAAACCTCAGAGGCCATCTGAGTCCTTCTGCCTTTTTTACAGATGAAGAAACTGAAGTTAAGACATGTTAGGCATCTTGCTCACTGTTATATAGCTGGTAAATGAAAAAAAATATAATTTGAACCTATGTTCTTTTATTCCAAATCCAGCATACTGTTTCATGCTACTTCTTTTAAGGACAATTATACACGCAAAAAAAACCATACGCACACACACACATGTATACACATATGTCCATATACGTGTATAGATAGATATATACCTCATTTAAAATAAATATAGCACAGACCAAATTTTTGGTTTTGAATCTTAGCTCTTTACTTTACTAATTATGTGACCCTTGGATACATTAGTTAACTTTTCCCAGCCTGTTTACCCTCACCCCTGTAAAATTAGGAGGTTGGACAGGATTATCTCTAAAGTCCTTCTAGCTCTAGATATATGGTACAATGACCTTGCCTGTGTGACATTAGCATAATCAACAAAATTCTCTGAGACTTTATTTCTTCATCTGGAAAATGAGAGCATTGGACTATGAATTAATTAGCAAGCACTAATTTTGAGCCTACTACATTCTACTACTATTTTACTTGGTATTAGTAAGATAAAGACCAAAATAAAACTATCTTTGCTCCTATGGAGCTGATTTTTGTTGGGTGAAACATGTACACATTCAAATGAATACAAAGTATGGACAAAACAAATATAAAGTAGTTTCAAAGTCAGGAGTCTTGGTAGGGGATGAGCATTTAAGAGGAGGGCTGAGAAAAGGTGGTGCCCAAGTGGATTTTGTAAGGAAGTTAAGGATTCTAAGAGGCTGAGATGAGAAGCAATTGAATAGCAGGCTTGGGATTTTGCACATGCATGTACAAAGATGGGAGATGTAATGCGTAGACAGGACAGTAAAAAAGGCCTATTGCACTGGACCAAAAGAAAAAAAACTACGAAGGTGAGTAGTGGGTACTAGTCTGGAAAGGTAGGATAGAGCAAGACTGAGAGGGAGCACATGTTCCCAAAGGTCCCTCTGGGCTCTAAATCTTATGATGGGAAAGGAAATTATTAGAGCCCCAAATGGATTTATATACCACTACTGGTGGGTGGGTTTAATAAACATACGTATTTTTCCCATATTTTCTGGCATACATTTTCACAGGTGCTTTTCTAGGACTAAATCCATAATAGGATGAGGATGCACATTACATATCCTCATTTAAAAGCTCCATAAATATTGCATATGGAATTTAGAAAATATATTATTTAAGACTTCTAAGTATTTGCAGAGAAGTAAGGCTAAGAACTGGAAGTCCAAAGACATTTTTAATGAATATTGTTGTATTGAGGATCCATCTTTATAAAACTGTGTATTATACCTGGAATAGAAGCTTGTAATTTAGGACAATCAGAAGTATATTTTATAAATAAGTAGCTTGTGCATTGGGAACTGTGGGTTATGTAAGGTCTTGTGTTTTTTTTTTCATTTTCATTGGCAATTGGGAAGCAAATGGTAGGTGTGAGCAGGCTACAACTCATTAGAAATGTGGAATTCTGCACATGGTGAACTTATGGAGGGACATGGATAAGAAACACTCAAACACCCAGGATAGAAAGGAATGACTAAGAGATGACCTTTCTTATTATAGGGAATGCCCACATGGATGAGATTAAGGATCTCATTGAGTTGGCTAGGTAGCATGGTGGATAAAACATGAAATTTGGAGTCAGGCAGTCTTTTTACCTCAAAGCCTCAGTTTTCACATCCATAAAATGAGTTTAATAATTCTATCCACCTTACAGAGATATTGTATAGCACTAGATAAAATGAGATTCATAAAGTTCTCAAGCCGTTACTCCTGCTTTTAATTCATTTTCTTCCCTTCCCAATCTTGACCTAAAGTTAATAAATTTGGAAGGACATTGTCCTCTGTTTTCAAATCCCTTTATTCTTGTCTTACTGCTGCTTATTTCTGAGCAAACTCCAGTCCTCACACATCACACTTCATTTCATATATTTTGCCTCTGTGCTGTCATTTCCCTCATTTGTTGTCTCTCACTCCATTCTACCTTCCATCTTACAGAATCTATCTCTTCCTTTAAGACACACCTCAAACACCACCTTCTATAAAAAGGCTATACTGATCCTTACCCCACCACCAGCTACAGACGTCCTCCCAACCTAACTACCTTATAGGTATTCATTTCATATACATTAACTGTATATAATTATATGTGTACATTTTGTCTCCCTGGAGAGAATGGAAGCTTAAGAATAAGAATTGTTTTATTTTAGGCAGCTAGGTGACACATTGCATTGAACCTGGAAGACCTGAATTCAAATCTGACCTCACCTAGTAGAGGTGTGACATTTGTCATGGTATATGACATTGTTTGCCTCATTTAACTCAACAGTAATAAAAATCACCTACCTCACAGGGTTGTTGTAAGAATCAAATGAGATAATATCTATAAAGTGCTTAGCACAGTGCCTGTCATGTAATAGTGTTATTATTTTCTAAATTTGTTACCAGTGCCAGCTTAGTGCCTGGCACACAGTAGCTGCTTAATAAATGTTTATTGATTAAATGGTTTTTAAATTTACTTTGTCCCTTTCATTTTTAAGTCAATAATTTGTCCCAGACATTATTTTTCTTCTAACTACTTATTTTATTTGTTAAGAAAGTTTTGTAACTGTCTGAGGATTTAGTCTTCACACTTCATTCTAGTTTTAGGATATTCTATCTTGAGATACATATATATATATATATATATATATATATATATATATATATATATATATATATATATATATATATATATAATATATATATATATATATATATATATATATATATATATATATTGCTCTGGACCTTTGATTGAGTTAGAATATTTGTTATTTTAGCCTTTTCCCCCTTATATTCCTCATCACTCACTTCCTGACTCCCCTTCCTTTGCTGCTGGCGTATCCCTAGGGCTAGGATATAAAGCTACCTTAGCCTCCTCCAAAATTGGGATTTTAGTGTTCATCAACCTGACCTAATTAGGCTACTTGACCTAATTGTCCTCTGGAGAAATAGAACTAACCCCATCTGGATCTCAGTTCCATTCATTTTAGGCTTGGCACAGTTTTCCCCCCCTCCCACTGCCCCTTTCCCCAATTCTTCTTTTGACTTCTCATTTTCTTCTCTAGCTGCAATGAATCAATATCTGAATTTTTTCTGGAGATTTGGGGAAGGAAAAGTTGGGTCTTTCAGAGACAATCTTTGAAGCCTTAGAGATCCTTAATGTGGGAGACACCCTACAAAGAATGTATCAGATTTCTCTCCCCCCTACCTGGCCCATAGCTGTCTGGAGTCATTATCTAGTATTTGTTGTCAAGGAGATAGTGGCAGTAGGGAGGTTTTGGGTAGTGGATGAGGCATACTGGAAAAGCAATTTTAGCATGAGAGAGTACCAATATTGGCCACAGGCACAAACCCATGACAATAGTTCAAACACAATACTAGTCTCTTGATTCCCTGAGCAAAGAAATACAAGATTTATGGCTGGAAAAGAATGGGGTTTGGAGGACAGTCATTACATTTGTTAGCTGTCTCTGTGACACTTAGAGATTTTCCTCCTCTGCAAATGGGGTGAGTGATATCTACCTCAAAGGACTGTTTTGAGAAAAATATTTTGTAAACCTCTAAGTGTTATATTCAAAACAAACAAAAGCCCCTCACATTTGCCTAGTACCATAAGGTTTCCAAATCCCCTTATCATAGTCCTTTTCTCCTTTGACCCTTACAACTCTGTAGAATCATTATCAGAGTGAGATTGTTATTTCACTCTCCACAA